AGGTTGTTGTTGTCCAGGCTAGATTGGCCCCCTGTGTGTCTTTCTGTGGTCTTTATCCATTTTTTCTCTCTCTTGCCTGTGTGTTTTGTTTCTTACTCTGAGCTGGCCGTGATCCCCACTCTCTTGTGTTGAGTTGATTCACAGCCGCCTTGACCTTAATTATTCCCACCGGTCCTTGTACTCTAGCAATCATTTCTCTCTTTTATATTCTCATCTCGTTCTCAGTTATTTGGTGAATCATTCCCTCAGTTGGTCAGGCTCCAGCCTGTTGATCTAGCCTAGTCTTGTTTCTCTAGTCTGTTTATTCTGTGGGTGTAGTTGAACAGTTAGAGCACTTCTCTTGCCTAGTCAGTCTTGTATTGTTCCCATTGGATTCTCTCTCTGGCTGTAGATTAACTGTCTAGTCTAGTCCTTGCCTAGTTACTCTTGAGTGTTTCTGTTTTGATTTGCTCGTAGCCTCCAGATTTCTCAGCTGCCTATGTTGTGAGCTATTCAATGGGAATCAATCGTTCTTTTTGGACAAATCAATGTTTGATATGTGAACAAAACCATTTGCAAAAACAAACAAAGGCTTTAAAGGGATAGTTCACCCAAAAATCTAAATTCTGTCATCATTTATTAACCCTCAAGTTGGTCCAAACCTCTCTGAGTTTCTTTCTTCTGTTGAACACAAAAGAAGATATTTTGAAGAATGTTGGGAACCAAAGAGTTGCCGGTATAGCCATTGACTTCCATACTATTTTTTTTCCCAGACTATGGAAGTCAATGGCTAACATCAACTGTTTGGTTACCAACATTCATCACAATAGCTTCTTTTGTTTTCAAAATGTTTTATTTTTGGGTGAACTATCCCTTTAAGACCAAGGTGAAGCCTCTGCAAGCAGGTTGTTTTGGAAGTGGGCGGGACTAATGCGAAAATCAGTGATCCCATTGGCTAGTGCTCACCTTTCATCGTCCATGTTTGATTTATCAGATCTCTTTGGGAAAATGCAGACTTGATATTCATGAGCTCAACAATATGGGAGAGACACTGAGCTGCTGATAAGACACAATCTATCTGGAGAAAGACGTGATAAACAAGAAGTCATCTTTGACTAGAGTAAGTTAATGTTGTTAGATACTACATTTTATATTTATACCTATCCTCTCTAATAAAGGATTTAAAATCCTCAGCTTGAATTTCTGTCCACAGATCTGGGGCCTCATTTCTAAAATATGAGTGTTGGCGTGGATTTAAGGGTACGCACACTCTAATTATAACATGTTAGCTTGTTGTTCAGTTCAACTAATCCTGAAACTATTAATGTAAAATATATTTAGATAGAACAATTACAGCACACAGCATAAATAAGTACACGTACACCCCCCTCTGAAATGTAAAAAAGTCAGCGATTCCTCTTTACATAGATGATGCATTATGGTTTCTTGAAGATATAATATCCCAGCAAGTCTGATTGATCAATTGCCAAAGAGGCACGTAAATATTAATTAGGAAAATAAAATTTCCTGGTGCTGGTTGTTGGGCATTTTTTTCAACATGACAAAGACATTATAAAATCATTTAAGGAGGTCGTCCTCCAGGAGTTAAACAGGACAGATGTGACAGATTTCTGTGAATTTGTACACTCAATGACAAGAAGGAACAGATCAGTATACTTAAAAATATGGAGAACATATTACATTCTATATTTCACATTTAATTGAATTTAATCAAAGCTGTACTAATTTTTGCAATCTTAATTTAAGCAGAATAATTTGTATCATTCATTTAATAAATTTAAAGTTTTTCATCTTCCCATAAATTCCAATAATTATCATTAAGAAATAAAAACATATTAATGTTCAGAGGGGGTGTATTAATTCATGTGTGATTTTTACATTACATCTCAGGACAGTCACTAGTTAAGCGTGCATTCTTGTGTTGTCGTGATGTAATTGTCCTGCAGCTCTAGAGTAATTAGTCACATGGCATTTACAGCTCAGGTTGTTGTCTTAAAAATGTACCATGTGCAAATATGGCAGCATGCACATCACATACTGTCACTACCTGAGATGAATGGGAATGCTATAGTGGATATTTTTCTCCAGCAGTTCTAAACAGTGTTTACACGAGAAGCTACAAGAAACATAGTTCACTTTAAAATGTTTTGTCTTTTTGTCTACTCTCCACAGCTGCTTTCCATCTGTATCTCCAGTATTTAATCTCGTCCTTTAGTCTCGTCCAGGTTGGGGTTGTCAAGGCTTTAGAAAAGTAAGAAATTTGCATAGCAACAGCCCCCAGTGTAAGAACCAATGGTGAGGCTTCTCTTCACCCACCAAGTTTGAATAACAATCTACGAGCACTGGAGGAAGGTGATTATCAGTGAATAACAAATTATGGTCTGCTCATCACCAAGTTATTTGTTTTATATAGACTTCAAATTTAAGGCACGAGTCATATGGACTACTGCTATGATACTTTATAGTGCTTTTTGGAGTTTTGACACCCTGTCCTATTTGTTGTACGAAAAGGGTCGCCTTTATTTGTTTATTTTTCCACAGAAGAAAAAAAAAAAGGGATTTTTTTTAGTTTTGAATGACATGAGGGTTATAAATAATGACTAAATCTTTAAAGGATATTTTTAAAATTCTTTAAAAAGATATTTTAAAAGTAGCATGGAAAATAGGGAATACATGCAAACAGTCATTGCATTGCACTTCAGTGTGTGTCAGACAACTGCATAAAGGTTTCTTGAGCTTTTACACCACATGTTCATTTTACTGCCTTAAAACAATCAGCCCTTTTCCTGCGCACCAAACTTACAGTTTAAGGGGGAGCGTTGGAAAGAAACAGTAGCCATTCGCCTTATTATAAGTCAGAGTTCCATCTGAGCGATTTTTTTCATGGTAAAAATCTTAAATACAGTTGCTTTAAGCAAGAACTCACTTAACCCTCATCCGTCCCTCCCGAACCTATAACAAAACTGTCCCTCGCTGGTCAAAATGACTTTCCCCCGTATTGGCAAATTTTCCTTTTTTTTTTTTTTTGGCAAATTTGCAAATTTAAACTGTTGCACAAAATGCTTCCAATTATAAAACAAGCATTTGAAAACTGGGGCTGTCATAAAATGATTTATATGCCTATTAAAAAAATTTGAAATAGATTATATACTGTATATATATGTATATATATACAGTATATATATATAAATCAAATATATTATATAACAGTAGATGCATGCCATTTAATACATCTTCATATTTCAAGTTGACTAGGAGTTGACAAAATATGAATTTAAAAAAATTAAAAATTCTGTCATCTTTTACTCATCCAAGGTATTTTACTATACTAAAAGAAGATTATTTTGAAGAATGTTGGTAACCAAAGAGTTGGCGGTAGCCATTGTTTTTTATTCATTTTGTTTTCCATACTATGGAAGTCAATGGCTACCGTCAACTCTTTGGTTACCAACATTCTTCAAAATATCTTCTTTTGTGTTCAACAGAAGAAAGAAACTCATACGGGTTTGGAACGACATGAGGGTGAGTAAATGAAGACCATTTTCATTTTTGGGTGAACCATCCCTTTAAAAGTTTGATTAGTGGAAAGAAAATAAAACAATAATCAATGCACAGTATATCAAAACAACAATAGTTATTTAATGCACACCAAAAGTCCAGGCCGGGTCTATTTTTGGGAGGTAGATTTTCAAGGTAGATGGGGTCAAGAAAATGACTATGACAAGGAAATGAAGGCCCACCGTACCCACTGTAAGGCAATTACAGCATGGAGTTAAAGCTTTTCGAGGCCATCAGACAGTCAGGTGAGGCACTGCTGGCAAACCCTATTACTGGAAGGGCCATCATCTAAAGAGGATTATCACTCATCAGAAAATGTCTTCACTGTTAAGCATGTAGAAGGTCACTGCTAGTCTGTGGGTAATCCATCTGAATGACTCTAACAAACTGAGAAGACAGTATGATAGAGTTGAGAGACCACAATTAACCTCTGTGACATTCTAAGGGTAAGACCTTCATGTGAGAGACACAAATCATGCACATTCATTTAGATGCTATATAAGGCTGGATGATTTTCTCAAACCGACCACTGGGTTGAGGCTGTTGGGTGAGGAAGCTGGGTTGATAATCATTCATAATCAGTTTTCCAACAGTGCTGGGTTGGGAATGCAGTCGTGGAAAGAGTGCATGAACAAAGTATCTGCGACACCACTTTGCCATCAACTCATGACCGGAATGTGTGTGGAAAATAAATGAAAGCGAATCAAAGCGGAAAGGATAGAGAAACTGACTGCATTATATTCTACTATTAGTCAAAGTCAGGTTCTGGAAGTAAAATCATTCATTTTCTCCACAGGGAAATGATTTTTAACAATAACTGACAAAAGGCAGACCTGTTGTGAGCTCTGAGGTTGTTAAGTAATGGTGTATGTGATCTATGTGCATTCGACTTATTTTTAAAATAATCATGTTTAATAGTGGAATTAGTAGAATAACTACATTACCCATAATGCTGTTCAGACAATTCCACCAATTACAGCCAACAGCTTTTTAGCTCCGCCCACTATGCAAATGAAGTAACTGACACAGCCTCCCTATGCATCGAAATTATATATTTGTATAAATATGCATATTTTGCAATAAACTTAAAATATATTATTTCCATAGATACAATAAACAATTAGCTAAATTGTTACACGCTAATTGCATCAAGCATTGAACTGTAATGCCGATATGCAAAGACAGCTCATTCAAACTGCATCTCTATCTTACAGCATTCGGTCTGTTAATGTACTTGTACGTTATATGTGCATCATTCTGTATATTTAATGTGGATGTGCACATATTTTTTTATTCGTATTGCAATTAAGTAAATGTATTCCCTTGAAACAAACTATACAAGCTTGTTGCACAAAGAATGACGGATAATGCCTCAGTAAATGTAAATGTCTTCTGGACCAGAGCTCTTAATAAAGCTGGTTCATCTCAGACGTTATACTTACTCAGAGCATAGAGCGAGAGCGTGATTCCTGCTAAGCAAAAGCCCTCAAAGAAGCGCAGGGTGCTGAACATCGGGACGTTGACGGAGAAGGCCACCGTCATGCCGAAAATTAACATGAAGATGACGGACAGGATCAGGACCGGGTGTCGTCCACACCTGAATCATAGAAAACACAAAACAAGGCCAATTTACCAAATGCTCTATACCAGTGATTCTCAACTGGTTTTTAATTATATTATAATGTGGCATCAAGTGAGTCAACACAGTAGCATTGTTTATAGTACAAAAGCAATCCAACAAGTCCCTGAAGTGATAGGTCACTTAAAAATGATTTGTTTTTCTAAAGCTGTGACCTTTTTTCTTTTTCAGATCACTAAAGGAGAAATTTAAAAACAAGTCCTGAATGATTCCTTGAAAAAAAAAAAGCTACAACTGAAATGCATTAACATTATCATGAACTGCATAGTGCCCAGTAATATGTGACACTGGAGCACAAAACCAGTCATAAGGGTCAGTTTTTGGAAATTGAGATTTATACATCATCTGAACGCTAAATAAATAAGCTTTCCATTGATGTATGGTTTGTTAGGATCGGACAATATTTGGCCGAGATACAACTATCACAAAAAAATAGTGTGACCGAGGTTAGTAATTTGCAGAAAACACACCCAAAACATTCCCATATAAGGGCTTTCTGCTCAACTTTTCCTTTACAGCCATGCATCATTCTGGACAAATTATGCTATGTATTTATATTCTAGTTCTGTGTAAAAGGTATATATGTATATATGTTCCTCTCCCTTTCGATCTCTATCTCTCGATTTATATATGAAGATTTCAGATGCAAAAACCTCTGAATTTTCTTTCAAATTAGCTTTTTTTAATCAGGCTCCTGATGAAAATATCATTGGAAATGTTTGAAAATTAGGCATTCAGTAACTGCCTGATATCCTTTTCTTTGCCATTGAAGTGAAATTGCTCAACCTTAACATAGGAGCCTGATAAAATGCTCATTTAACCTCTTAAGACCCGGCAAAATGTTTTAGGAAAAAAATAGTATTTTTTCATTTCATTACATTGTTTAGAGCATTAAAAAAAAATTTTATTATTATATTTCATTCATAAGTTATGCTACGTCCTTGGTAGAGGACATCGGGACTCAATTT